AAACTTTTATTTCCATAGTGTAAATCATTTGTATAGTAGTGAATCTATACCATGACGTTAAACTGCTCGCTGATAAGGACTTTAACTTTCTTATATGGCTCTCCTTATTGATAAGAATCATACCAACAATCTTCATTTCTCTTTCATGGCAGCTAATGTATTTTGAGGAGGATTTCTAAATTTGTCCCCAATTTTCTTCAGAATTCTTGGGTAATTCCCAGTTTTTTGTTTATGTTTAGCTTTCCAGCTAGGTTTGAAATAGATTTACATGTTAAAGACAATCTTTTTCTCATTATTCTCTTCGATTCTTCATTTTTATTTAAAAAATTTTAAATACTTCAAATGTGTATTTGAGTTTGGACTTGGGTGTTTTTTATTGTTTTTGTTTTGTTTTGTTTGAGACAGAGTCTTGCTCTGTCACCGAGGCTGGGGTGCAGTGGCATGATCTCGGCTCACTGCAAACTTTGTTCCCCCTTCTCCCACCAGGTACAAGCAATTCTCCTGCCTCAGCCTCCCAAGTAGCTGGGATTACAGGCTCCCATCACCAAGCCCAGCTAAGTTTTGTATTTTTAGTAGAGAAGGTGTTTCACCATGTTGGCCAGGCTGGTCTCGAATTCCTGACCTCAAGTGATCCACTGGCCTTGGCCTCCCAAAACACTGGTATTACAGGCATAAGCCGCAGTGCTGGCCGGACTTAAGTGTTCTTAAAGAGAACATTGGTGTAAGAATATCCAAAGTCTTTAACAGTAAAGCTAAACACCAAGTTTCTTAACTCTTAGCAGCCATCTGCTTGCTATTTATGAGTACAACTTTTATGTACCACCAATAAATAGCCCACTGCTTTCTGGTTGATTTTTTCCCCTTTTTGGTGTATTTAACACATTGTATTTTTTTTTTTTAAGTTCATTAAGACTTTGAGTCAAGTCTATTTGTGCTAGTTCTTGAATGCTTTAAGCTGAATTCTTATTCTACCCCTGGATCTTTGAGTAAAAGGAGAATTTTATTTCTTATGTATTTTAATGACCTGATGAAACACTAATCAAAAACTAAAACACTATGTATCTCTAATCTCAATTTTAAAAATACATATATAAATAGAAAATATGAGCAAATCTATCATAAGTTTATTCTAAATTTTCTACATTGAAATTGTGTTATTGTAACAATTATAAAAATCTTTATACAAAAGATTAAAGTACTTCTTTTTTCTATTTATTTATTCAGCATTTGTTTAGCCTTTGCTAAATATATATTGTTATCTTGGGTATTAATGTATATTGCTAAGCAATTTTTAATTTTTTTCAACTTCAAAACTGTATATACTTTATATCTCAGGTAGTTTGTAATTCCATTAAAAAATAAATGTGACAGAGTCTTTGGTTTTCCAAATCTCACTGGAATTTCACGTTTAATTGCTATGATTTCTATTACATAGTCAATCACACCCAATTGCTTCCTGTACCGATTCTGGAATTTTAGCTCTTTAGAACCAAATATTGTATGCATTCATTTATTTTCTTACTTAAAAAAAAAACTACTCTTGTTACAGGAAAAAACTTATTAAAAAGACCTACCTCTACCATTATCACTAGTTGTTCTGTTCTAATTCTTTACCTTTAGCGATTTACAAACACAGGTTTAAAATGGATTTTTATCACAGTATTAGTTTTAGACTCAAAAGCTGTAAAAAGAAAATATTACAGATCTTGTCAGTTTATTTCTGTGTACAGAAAATGGATCATTTATTCCTGAGTAAATGCAGTGGTTAAGAGCTCACCTTGAGCAAATTACTTAATCTCTGTGAATCTCAGTTCCCTCAACTCTAAGAACAGGGAGACAGTTTTCATCTTCAGAGGGCCTTCTGCAGACTGAATGAAATCAAGCATATGGTGTTTAATGCAGTGCCTGGCTCCATGAATCCTGCCATCACTGTGACTAGCTTGGGCAGAAGCTCTGTTTGTTTGTAGGTATTTCTACAAGCATCAGTAACCTGAGGGAAAATGTCATTTCTTTAGCAGAATGGTACTGTTCCCATCCTATCATCACTCACAAAACGAGTTCACTTCACCCCCTGCTGGTCCCTGTTCTTACTACCCATGCTATCAGCCTTGGTCTGTTTATCTCTGAAATGCCAGCTCTATGTGAGACTTGCCGTTGCTGCCAACTAATCTAACTTACCCAGTCTTAGGAATTTGTCTTCTAGCCTTTGTAGAGCTGCATTACTACAAATACTGGATTTGCTTTTATGTCAATCATATGAAGAGGATAATGATGAACAACAAACAATTTTATTCTAGATAACTGTTTTAATTTTCTGATCTCTCACATTGTCATGACCCTTGTTAATTCCCATCTGAATTCAATTGTTGACATGCTACAATAAACAAAGAGAACCAAGTGTTTTTGGCATTTCACCTCGGAAAAAAATGGTTCACTCTCTATACTCAGGAATAAATAAAGTCCATATTTTTTTTATGTTTTATAACTTTTCCAGCCAAAAGCAATGTTGTGATATAATTCCATTTTAATCCATGTGTTGCTGTCTGATGTCAAGGCTCACACCACTGTTTTTTAAAAAATAATTTTTAAAATTCTCTTATATACACATTTCTTTCTTCTGTAATCTCATCCGAAATTATGAGCACACAAACAGTTGATTTTGAAGGTGTATGGGACTTACACAAAGAGATTTTTAAAAATATTCATTGGCTTAATTGAGAAGAAGTTGGGTTTTTTTTTTTTTTTTTGAGGCAGAGTTTTGCTTTTTCACCATGACTGTAGTGAAGTGGTGTAATCTTGGCTCACTGCAACATCTACTTCCCAGATTCAAGGGATTCTCCTTCCTCAGCCTCCCGAGTAGCTGGGATTATAGGTGCCCACCACCGCACCCGGCTAATTTTTATAATTTTAGTAGAGACAGGGTTCACCATGTTGGCCAGGCTGGTCTCGAACTCCTGACCTCAGATGATCCACCCACCCTGGCTTCCCAAAGTGCTAGGATTACAGGCATGAGTCACTAAGCCCAGCCAAGAAGAAGTCTCTGTGTGTGTGTGTGTGTGTGTGTGTGTGCATGTGTGTGCGTTTTTTTTTTTTTTCCTATTGTTCATGGATGTCAGCACTGACTCACATTTCCCAAGGCAGGCTTCTATAATCTGAGGATTCCAACAGAGCCTATTTGCTTATTCTGAGAAGTCCGCAGGGAGGTGAAATGCCAGCAATTAAACAAAGCAAAGGTGAAGACATTCAAGGTTTAGGGTTTTGTTTGTTTGTGTTTTTTACTATGTGAACTTTAAATATTATAGTGGGAGTATTTCATTTCATTTTCTAGAATCCTTGGGCTAGAACACACCATCACAGTAATTTGATGCACACAAATGTTCTTTCTCCACATCCTTTTAGAAAAACAAAACAAAAACTAAATTATCTTAGTCGCTTTGGTTTGCACTAATTTCATAAACCCCAGGAAAGATTTATTGGTCTGCATCTTAGTTCCTGCTACATAATCAAATGCTAATTTCACTTTTATAAAATGATTCCTACATTGAGCAAGAGATAATTTTAAGTATCAAATCAGATCTCATTTTTTAGGTTTAATATTTTAATTGCTTTTTTGTACTTATAAAATAATTTCAAACTTACCAAAAAATTTTAAGAAGTGCACAAAAATGGTTTTTCCTCAGCGATTTGGAAATAAGTTACCACTAGAATTTTAAAGTTTGTTCTGTAAGCAAGAAAAAAAATAAAATTAAAAAAGGTACCACTGGATGATTTAGTATGCATATCCTATAAACAAGGACATTCTCCAATAATATCACAAGATAATCATCAAAATCAGAAAATGAACATTGATACAGTGCTACATCTAATCCTCAAACCCCATCCAGGTTTTGCTGATTATCCTATTAATATCCTTTGCATAAAAAAGGCTCCAATCCAGGATCTTACATTACATTTAGTTTTCATAATTTCATAAATAACTGACTCTTACAATCTTCATCAGTTTCTCAGTCTTCATTTAACTTTCACGACCTGATACTCTAAAACATTATAGACTTAATATTCTGTAGAATGTCTCTCAATTTTCTTTTAGCTAAGGTTTTTTTGTAATTAGATTCAGGTTTTATATTTTTAGCAAGAATATCACAGATGTGAAGCTTTATTTAAATCCATTTTATCATGCAATCATAGTTTGGATTTTTCTCATTACAGGTGATTTTAACCTTGATCATTTGATTAAGGTGGTGTCTGCCAAGATTCTCCAATATAACATTATTCTCTTATATTTCCCCTATTATTCACTATGTACTTGGTGGTGGGAGTATGAAATTATGTAAAGATCCCATTTCTTATCAAATTGTCAGCCACTAGTCTTAGCATCTATTGATACTTCTTACTGAGATTATCACTATGATAGTTGTCAAGTAACGATTTTCTAATGCATAATGTTCTCTACACTTATCAGTAGGCATTCTAATATAAAGAAAAGCCATTTAAGTTTAACATTTTTATCAGTATAGATTAATAATTCCTACTTTATTTGATGAATTATAATGTATTCTTATTACATATTTTGATATTGAAAGTATACCATATTTGATCAATTCTTTGAATTCTTCTTAATTTCTAGCACAAAAAGAAATTTCAAGATCATCAATTTCACATCCATATGAAGATCACAAAGGAAGGGAATGAATATGAATTATTGTAATTTTTTATAAAAATCAACTTACATATGACAGTGTAATGTCTCTTCTCACTTCTGATAGCATGTCCCAACACTTTTGTATAGCTGATAAGGCAGAAAACACTTTTTGTCAGATTCCTTACATTAGTTTTGTTAGAGATGGCACAAAACATTCTGAATCAAATCATAATTGGTTGTTATTATGTATAGGGTAATTCTACATAGGTAATGAAAACTTGTTTCTGAAAAGCTTCTACAGAGCATATCCAACAATGATTGTAACTTAAAAACCAACTTTATTAAGGAAGAAATAACTGTGCTCACTTCAGCAGCACATATACTAAAAGTGGAAAAATACAGAGGAGATTAGTATGGCCTACGTGCAATGATGTAATGAAAATTTGTGAAGTGTTACATATTTTTAAAAATAAAATAAAAGAAATAATTTTTATTAAAAGTTTTAACATAAATGAAACAAAAGAAATGAGCTATAATTATTACTCACATGTACACCACACATTGTCTACACTCATACCCGCTCTCCTAAATTCAAAATGAAAACCTTGGAGAAAAGTGCAGGTAACCTCAGAAACTATTTTCGACCTCAGCTGAGTGCAGAGTGCCCTCTAGAGGCATCATTAAATTAATGCAATCTTTCCAATAGCAGATGAACCTTTTAAAGCTCCATAGAAGCTTTTCAGAAGCAGTTCTCGTCAAATGCGTAGAATTACCCTACACAGAATAACAGCTGATCATTATTTGTTTCAGCATATTTTGTACCATCTCTAACAAAACTAAACAAAACTAATGCAAAGGATCTGACAAAAATTGGCTTGTGCTTTATTAGTTACACAAAAGAATTGGGAACGTGCCATCAGAGATGAGAATGGACATTAATGCTGTCTTATGACAGTTTGTGACCCTCAGTAAGCTGTTATGACATATCCCAAATATTTCACACAGAAAGAATGTCTTCAATAATTTATTCCATTATTTCTTAACATTCCTTAACATCCACAGACAGGTCAGGCGTAGATTGAGGTTGGCAAACTGTTTTAGCGGTCAGTCTTCACTTGGCTTGGCATCTTCTTTGTATAATATGCACACAAACTCAAAAGACAAAGGAAATTCCAATGCAGATGTGAAAAAAATTCACACTTAAACTGTTGTTTCAAATAAATGTTATTTAATGATTACATAGAAAGTTAATGTATTTCTATTACCAAATTTTTAGACAGCTCATAAGTATATGGTGTCTAAATAACTTATTATGTCAGATATAGTCATAAAAATCATGTGTTTCTCACCATCTTTACTATAATTTCAAAGATTTGAATAAAATTATTTTTATCAATTTCTGTGTCTTAAAGAAAAATGTCCTTTCAAATATTTGTCCCAATGAAACTCCGCCTTAACAATATTGGTTTGAGTTAAGAGAATAATTTTAAGATAGTAGTGTTTTGTTATGTGATAATAATCTTTACTTAAATACATAGTTAACAAATAACAGTGAGAACTATGGAAAATTATTAGACATGAATCAAAATTTAGCCTTCTCATCTTCCTAGAGAATGTCACATCTTGGAACTGTCTAAACATTCAGGTAGAGATTTGAAAGAAACATTTTGATAAGTTAAAGGACAACTGTAGTTGACACAGGATGTGGTTACACGAGGTGAATGTATCAGACATAACTTTACACTCTACTTCATTTCTCCAACATAGACACAACTGTAAAATACATCATTTAAATGTTCTTGTTGAGACGCCTATTTCTAAGAACATTAACAATAAAATATATAATTTTTCTGTGCATGTATTAACAGGTGAAACAAATGTTAGAGCAAGTGCCAAGTTTTTCTTCACCTAAATATAAGGGCTCAGCCTTGTTCATAAAGTTGGTTAGGAGCTATGTTTTCTAGTCTCTAAATCTTTGATTGTACACTCTTTAGAGTCTCTGCTTCTTCAAGAAAATAGAATTTCAAATAAATAAAAAATAACCTTAATGATAGCATGCCCTACTAAAATAACAACAACAACGACAACAAAAGGAACCTTCCCTCTGTTGACCCATAATGCTATTAAGCTATGTTCTTTCTGTGTCCCTGTCACAGAGTAAATTTTGTGTAATCTTCAACTTCAGAGTAAATGGCAGTGAGAGTAACGGTGTTTGACCCTCTTCTTAGATTTGTCCTTTTTATCTACTAGTGTCCTGTGTCCCTGGATAGATCATATCTTAGCATAACTTGGTCTTCCAGGCTTATACCACCCATGAAATCTAAGGTGGCATCATTTTTTTTTTTTTGAGCTTTTATTAAGAGACTCTCTGAGAGTTTGTTAGGAAAGTATTGAGCTCAACACTTCTGAACTCCAGGATACCTCCAGAGCCCTGCTCACTGACATGGACATTCTATGGTCTGTAGCAGACAGGTGTGTCCCTGTTACGCCACTCAGCTGTTAAGCCTTTGTCAGCCCTTTTTCCCAGAGGTGGATTTATGAGGCTGAGAAGGAAAGGCATAATATGGATAATGTAGACAGAGTGCATCTGAAGAAGACAGGGGACCAGCTAGCACAGGACTTTTCAATGGAGCTTCTCCTCTTTCAATATTACCTTGTATTTGTTGACTTCAGATCTAGTTGTTCTTGCCAATTTACTCTCTTGTCAGATACTTAGTAATCACTGTGAGGCTCTGAAAAATAAAATGATTAGCAGGTCAAACCCATCTCTGCCTTCTTGGGGTTTATAATCCAAAGGATATAAAATGCAAGTAAACATGCCGGGCAAAAAGGCCAAGATATGCATGTATCAGAATATCTTCTGTTAAAACATTGTGTTTTCAAAAGCTCTATATTCTGTTTTAACTTGTCACTCTGTTTTGTGAATGAGATTGTGTCACTCATGCAGAGCAGTCCCAAGAAGAAGGCCAAACCTATGTCAGCAGGATGCCTGTAGGAGGATGTGGTTTCAACAGAACTCTTTTCACTCCTTACCTCTCACGGGGCTAGCACCAGCACCTCAGCCGCACTATATCTCTGCTCCAAACTGGCTCCTCCGCCTGCACAGTCCTCCTGGGCATGGCCGCAAGAGGTTTGGATCAGGTTTGCGGCATCAGTACGGTGACCTGGCACATCACAAAAGCAGAGAGGAAATAAATAGGGAGCCAGCCAAGAATGCAGATTGAGGGCAATAATGGAGCCCAGGTTTATAAGAAACATCCCCCCACCCCATTCTCTGGGCTTTCATTTCAGACATGCAAATACAATTCTTCGACATCTATTTACATTTTTAAACCACATAGCCTTGGGTAAAACTTTAGAAATGTCCCTTCTTGTCCGAGGACAATGCTACTTTCAAAATTCTCTGAGCAAACCCTTTCTCTTCTACTATGCTTTTAAGACACAACTGTTAATATGTCCAATTACTAAAATAATTAAGACACCTGAGCTCAGTCACCTAAAACACACAAATGCAAGGTAATTGATGGGTTACTTGTTTCTTCCCAGAATCACCAAGAGCATACTTACAGTACTAATCATAATAACAAAAAGTAAAACCTAAAAATTGCTGCTTGATTAGCATCTTTTACACAACACTTCTCATTCTGGGTCACCCAGATTCCTGATGTTTGAATATCTGGAAGCATTTCCATTATAGAATAATCTACTATCAATTCTTCCTTGTCTCATATTTGAAAATGAGCTTTGTTCTCCAGGGTCTTTCCGGAAAATAATGGTTTATGACATAGATCAAAGCAGAAAATGTGACCTTGGCCATGGACTAGGAAGAAATGTGGCATTTGAGCTGGGTGAGTGTGTAGGAGAAGAAGGAATGCTAACGTCCTAAATTCTTGTCCTGGCTTTGCTGTCTATCACTTAGCCCCACTGAGCCTCCTTTCTTTGTTATCTAAATGCTGGAGGCCAATTAAACAATTTTCAAGTTATTTCTAAGACTGCGGTTATCTATTTTTCTATTGAATGTAATTATTTTCCTCTAGAATTTATATTACTTAACAATACTAATGAGGCAACTGTGCCATGTAACCATGAAAACCAAGTCTGGTGATTTGGGGTTGCATGCTCACCAGGCATCATTCGTGTGAACTTGAAATTCCATGGTCTTAAAGTACGATATCCAGGGGTGTTAATGTATAATTTACAAAAAATTTAAAACATGATGCTCATGCAAACATAAAATGAACCAATGTCCAAGGTTTTATTCAATGCATTAATTAATGAGATATCCTGAAATATAAGACAGCTCATTCCAGGAGCATTTGAGGAGCTGAGTATTTATAGGCAATTTAGTAGAGAAATGTTAGAATGACACGATTAGATACAGAACTGCCATACAAGGCAATAAACTATATATAACCTTTTAGATTATCTTCTCTACTAGACAGGATTCTACAAGTTAACAGTATTTAGGCTCTAATCAACTAGTAAAATGTAAATAAACAAACATTCGATTAGCTCATTAAACAATGATATTCAAAAACATATTGCATCCTTTAGATAATTTTTTGGAGACTTTTGTACTGAAGACCTTTGAACAAGTAACAAAAATATGAGGGTTCCAAATATACCTAAAAATCATTGATCTCTTTCTGTGTCCTCTCTTGTTGCTCATGGAAATTATGGGGCAAATTGTTATTTCCCAATGTTAGTCTGGGAAAAACAGCTCATAATAACATGTAACTTAGGGGAAATTTTTTTTTAAGTTTTATTGTCAAATTGGTGAAACCTGCTATCCTACTGATAAAATCTAATTCATATTAATATCATTTCTATTTAATTTCTATATTGATTTATTCTTGTGAGTAAAGAGCAGGAGGGAAGGATAGCAAGGAAGGAGATTTCTTTCCATGTAAATTTAAAATAAGCTAGGAAGAAGCCAAGACCCAACAGGTATTTACTGAATTTCATTTATTTCTGTCACCCTCACCTCAAACTCTTAGCCTAATAATATTGCCTTCATAATTCTCTGTTCATTTATAATTTAGTAAAAATGCCCCCTTAAATTAAGATTTTAGTAATAGTATTTGGTTCAGAGTCATTTCTGAATTTTTACATTTCCTGCATGGTTAAGAAAAAAAAAGAAAGAAACCATAATAAAAGTATACTCTTAGACCAAAAAAGCAGTCACTTTTGAAAGTAGCTAAAGTTGGATCAGGGTCTTTTTAAGCTTTTGAGAGGTCCAGAACTTGCTAGAGACCCTATCTTCAGGAAGAGATGATAAACACATAGCACACATATTATTTTGTATTTAATTTCATTGAATTCCATTCATTGACCCTGGTCAAAAATATAAAAGGGAGACCTGATCCCTATATCTTATCTCCCAAGCCTCTTTGAACATCTGACTTTACAAATCAGCTGTATTTCAGTTGGAGGAACCTATAGTTGTTTTCTTTAGCACAACAGCA